AAAAAAAGGGCAAAAAAAAGCTAATCTTTTCTTTTTCTTCCCCACGTCGTGACTTGTTTTTCCTTTTGCTCCCACCCTGCTTCCCCCGCGCCCCCCTCCACCAAGGTGCGTTGTTCGCGGTTGCTCCACGCCGTCCCGCGGAGGCAGGAGGAGGAGGAGCGGTGCAAGTTACGCCGGGCCGTTTATTTCCCGTCGCTGTACATAGATACCGCTGAAAGTATTTTTCAGAGTCTCTCATTAACAGGCGTAAGCTGAACGCCGTGAAGCTGTCCTGTGACCCCGGGAGTTCTTCAGGCAGGAGCCGGCGCAGCCCGGGCAGAGCGGCCCCCGGCCGCCCCGGGCACCCACCGCCTGGCCCGAGGCACGGCCAGGGCACGGCCGGGGCACCCCCGGGCAGCGAGTGGCGACCGGGCGGCGAAGTAGGACGTTGTTAGTGGGTCACCGCCGTCAGTCAGTGAAAAGAGCAGTGCTGCACTTTACAGGACAGACGAGAAAGGGAAACCGTATCTCTGCATTATTTCTGTTTAATTAAAAGTGTCATCCAACACGTTGTGTTCAGACTAATAAACGAATCAGGGATGAGGAAAGAATGTTTCTTTGTTCCTCTCTCTAGAAGCAGTGGCAATAATTTAAATTAATAACTGGTAATTAAGAGGTCATCTATAGATCAACCCGATACCTGCTATTTCCAAGTTCACCAGGGTCAACATTTACATTAAGTCATTTGTGGTCAATAGAGTCCAATGAATTCTGCCTTAATAAATCAGGGAAATCAATCTTGAATATCGAGTAGACTTCTGTATGTTTACCAAAGGCTACCAAGACAAGTGGGGCTGCAGAGCTGGGAGTCCTCTGGGTTTGCGAGGGGAAAGGAGAAACTGCAGCTCAACGCAGAGAGAGGTGGCGGGCCCCGGCCCCGGCCCCTCCCGGCCTGGGGAGGGGAGTGGAGCAGCCCCGGGCTGCGGGGGCACCTGTCAAAGAAGGCAAACTGGGGGGCTTTGCAGGGGCCAGGGCGGGGAAGGGGGGGGGGGGGGGGTGTAAGTGTACACGAAGGCCAGCAGGTAACGGAGCGGCCGGGAGCGGGGTCGGGGCCGGCCGGGAGCCCCGCCGCAGACGCCCGGCCACGGGGCTTTCCCGCTCTCCGGAGCAGTCCCGCGCAAGCGGCAGCGCAGGCCGCAGTCTGGCAGTGACCCGCAGCTTAGAGTAGGGGAAATTAAGCTGCGAAAAGATAAACATTGTTTCAAGTCGGATTTGAAGGATTAGGGCTTGTAATAAAGAGTATTAGGCCCTTTCGAAGAGTTCTTGCAAGGCGACTTTTCCGCCCCTCCTCTCCCAGCGGAGGGGAGAGGTGTTATCTGCTCCGGGAACAAAGCGCAGGTTCCCTACGCGTGTCCGCGGCGGCGGGGCCGGGCCGGGCCCCGCTCCCCGCCGTGTCCCGGCCGCCTCCGCCCAGCGCACCGGGGAGAGACCCGGCTCCCTCCCGTTCCGTTTGCCCGGCGGCTTTGGGAAGAGGCTCCCCGGAGAGGCAGCTCTGCAGCGGCCTCCTGAGCTGCCCACGGGAGAGGAAACCTGCACGGCCCTCGCGGCCCAGGGGCGGCCAGGAGCTCCCCCGGGTTGCCGACTCTGCCCCCCGGCCCTGGTATCCCCCGGCCTCCACGGGAGCGCCCGAAGGAGCCGCGAAGCCCCCGGGGGTGGTTAATTAGTCGGGTGCAGGCTTCGGCGTCTTTCTAAGGCAGGCACGAAGGTAACCTCCAGGAGTCTTAAGACTTTTTTTTATTACTTTTACTCCCCTTTTATTAAAGGTCAAGTGAGCGAGACGCAGATTATCCCGCCCGCCCAGGTCTCCCCTGCAATCTGTCAGGCCGGCAAGATATGTATCGCAAATCTCTCAAAATGTAATCTTCGGGAATCATATTCCGAATACTGTTTTGATTAAAAACCACAGCGGGGACTGACGGAGAACTAATACCGGGAGCAGAGCCTGCGAGCGCCCAGGCGCAAAAGTAAAATAAGGGGCTCGCCCGGGTCTCACGGAACAAATTCAGCGCCTCCAATGCCATAATAAACGCATTTAAACCGTCTCCTGGTTGGGCTTTGCTACGAGCCGGGCTCTGAAATGCCGCTGAGCTATGGGAAGTGAACTCGAGCTGTCCGCCGGAGCGGCGGCAGCCCGGCTCTGCAGGCCACCGTTTGATGGGGAAGTCGGAGCCTGCTCCTCCGGGGCCGTTCGGGGAGATGGGGCCGGTGCGAGGTCCCCGCGGCGCGGCCCGCCGCAGGC